GCCCATGTAACTCTTGGTGGCATGTTTGTACTAATAAAAATGGCCTCACTGGGTGGTTAAGAGCTAAAACATGATCTTGCTACAATACTATCTTGCCCGCTAGTGACAGTTTTGACCCTTTCTGCCATATCCATCTGGTGTCCTTGCTCGACAAGTTCATCCCTTTCACTGTGGGTTTGCAAGCAGATGACAAGAACCTCTCGTACACAGGAGGCATGTTGGCACCATACTTTGAGAATTTCTCCAATGATTCCCAATGGGCTAGCTCAAAAATATGGTTCTCACTGCAGCACCAACTCTTTTGCCAGTTCCGGTCTGCTAAAAAGAACATCTACTTTGTCATGTCTGTCCCTCATTCTGTGCAGCACTGTGCCGTAACAATTGTGCTGTTGCAAATCCTCTTAATATTGTGCCACCAATTGGTATATCACCTTCACTGTTTTCAACCAAGGCAGGGACCGATGGTAATTCATTTTCACTATGAACTCCCTCATTAAAAGGCAATGTCTAAAATGTTAAAATGCTTTGATAGTGGTGAACAATCCGGAGTAGGTTCCACATTAATGTAGCACTGCTTTGTTACTTTTGGAACTTGAGTAAAGTCAAGCAAGTCTTCATAATTTAATATGGCTAAAATGCTTATCGTGTTCTTTCTTACCACCCAAATTCTTCTTTGTCTTCCTTTCCATCAGTGTACGCAGAAGGCTTGTGATCTCGGTAAAGCCCTTGAAGAAACGTCAGTAGAGCCTGCTAAGCAGGCAACGACGGATGTCTGTCTGATTAACTGGAGTTAGCCAGCTCCTCTTTACCCTTCCAAAATTGCCACCCCGTCCGACAAGGCAGTTTTTGGGTTTTGGGGTTTCGAATAAAATCTACGTCTCGTTAGCTGCCCACCCCAATGCTAAGATTGACATTTACCCACAAACATTCCTTACAAAGTCAGTGTTATCCTAGTATATTGCCCAATGCTTTAGAAATAATCCGATTTGTGCCGTTCGCGTAAAGCATTGGAAAGTCAACGCTGCATTGCAGAGTCCAAAAAGAACTGCCTGAAATCCATTAAGCCCGCTTAACAATGCACAAGCAGTCTTACCTCTGTCTGTTGTTGTCACTTCTAATTGCCAGTATTCAAATCCAAATCCAACGTGTAGAACCACTATGACACGTCGAGAGCCTGACAAATCGTCTACGTAGAGTAGTAGGGAGACAATACACTTTGGTACTGCGTTCTGCTTTTCGCAGTCTATACACAGTCACAGACTTTCATCCTTCTTCACCAGTGCATTTGGTGTTGCTCACGGTGACTTTGAAGGATATATAACCTCGTCTCTGAGCATTTCTCTGCCACGAAGGTTCACTTCCAGCAGAAGAGGTAGCATGCATCTGGGTCACTTTTAGGTCGATCAGGAGTCAACAGCTTCTATCGTATTATTTCAAATGCATTTTATGCCCAGCCTAACGCCTTGCTATGAGAATGTGCTCCCATATTTAACCGGCGGTTTCCAAGGTTCTCTCATCTTGTTGACTGTAAGATGACTAAGCCGAGTGAAGAGGCCATCTAGGCTGATTATAGATATACCAGCAGCTTCGGATGAGGCAATACCAATATTGTCGAAGTCTGTCTTTGGTAGAGAAAGGATTGTCGAGGCTCCAGTCTCTCGGTGAGTGGGAATGACGTCTCTTACAAAATTCCAAACTGCTTTGGTGCTGCCTAGGAAATCGTCTGCCCATGTAACTCTTGGTGGCATGTTTGTACTAATAAAAATGGCCTCACTGGGTGGTTAAGAGCTAAAACATGATCTTGCTACAATACTATCTTGCCCGCTAGTGACAGTTTTGACCCTTTCTGCCATATCCATCTGGTGTCCTTGCTCGACAAGTTCATCCCTTTCACTGTGGGTTTGCAAGCAGATGACAAGAACCTCTCGTACACAGGAGGCATGTTGGCACCATACTTTGAGAATTTCTCCAATGATTCCCAATGGGCTAGCTCAAAAATATGGTTCTCACTGCAGCACCAACTCTTTTGCCAGTTCCGGTCTGCTAAAAAGAACATCTACTTTGTCATGTCTGTCCCTCATTCTGTGCAGCACTGTGCCGTAACAATTGTGCTGTTGCAAATCCTCTTAATATTGTGCCACCAATTGGTATATCACCTTCACTGTTTTCAACCAAGGCAGGGACCGATGGTAATTCATTTTCACTATGAACTCCCTCATTAAAAGGCAATGTCTAAAATGTTAAAATGCTTTGATAGTGGTGAACAATCCGGAGTAGGTTCCACATTAATGTAGCACTGCTTTGTTACTTTTGGAACTTGAGTAAAGTCAAGCAAGTCTTCATAATTTAATATGGCTAAAATGCTTATCGTGTTCTTTCTTACCACCCAAATTCTTCTTTGTCTTCCTTTCCATCAGTGTACGCAGAAGGCTTGTGATCTCGGTAAAGCCCTTGAAGAAACGTCAGTAGAGCCTGCTAAGCAGGCAACGACGGATGTCTGTCTGATTAACTGGAGTTAGCCAGCTCCTCTTTACCCTTCCAAAATTGCCACCCCGTCCGACAAGGCAGTTTTTGGGTTTTGGGGTTTCGAATAAAATCTACGTCTCGTTAGCTGCCCACCCCAATGCTAAGATTGACATTTACCCACAAACATTCCTTACAAAGTCAGTGTTATCCTAGTATATTGCCCAATGCTTTAGAAATAATCCGATTTGTGCCGTTCGCGTAAAGCATTGGAAAGTCAACGCTGCATTGCAGAGTCCAAAAAGAACTGCCTGAAATCCATTAAGCCCGCTTAACAATGCACAAGCAGTCTTACCTCTGTCTGTTGTTGTCACTTCTAATTGCCAGTATTCAAATCCAAATCCAACGTGTAGAACCACTATGACACGTCGAGAGCCTGACAAATCGTCTACGTAGAGTAGTAGGGAGACAATACACTTTGGTACTGCGTTCTGCTTTTCGCAGTCTATACACAGTCACAGACTTTCATCCTTCTTCACCAGTGCATTTGGTGTTGCTCACGGTGACTTTGAAGGATATATAACCTCGTCTCTGAGCATTTCTCTGCCACGAAGGTTCACTTCCAGCAGAAGAGGTAGCATGCATCTGGGTCACTTTTAGGTCGATCAGGAGTCAACAGCTTCTATCGTATTATTTCAAATGCATTTTATGCCCAGCCTAACGCCTTGCTATGAGAATGTGCTCCCATATTTAACCGGCGGTTTCCAAGGTTCTCTCATCTTGTTGACTGTAAGATGACTAAGCCGAGTGAAGAGGCCATCTAGGCTGATTATAGATATACCAGCAGCTTCGGATGAGGCAATACCAATATTGTCGAAGTCTGTCTTTGGTAGAGAAAGGATTGTCGAGGCTCCAGTCTCTCGGTGAGTGGGAATGACGTCTCTTACAAAATTCCAAACTGCTTTGGTGCTGCCTAGGAAATCGTCTCCAAGACTTATTTTTTAAGACAATTCTACAGATGTGGGGTACTTTCCCATCCAATTTACCTAGCCTATGATGTTATAACACTGCCACTCTTCTTGGTAGGATGGCTGAATAGCTGTCCATTTTTAGTTAA